ACATTTGTCATGACCAACATCATTACTTAAGAACCCTTTTTTAATAAGGGCCTCAATTTCCTGCTACAGGGCCTTACAATCCTCTGTGGTATACCCGTGATCTTGATGGAAGCCATAATACTTGCTCATGTCCCTGGTGTCTAAAGGTGACTTCATTCTTGAAGGTCACTTTAATTTTTTCATGTCCTTGATTTTCATCAAGATATTAGCCTTGGAAGTGTTCAACCAAGTGAAAGGTGTTGGTGGTAATTCATTTCTACGCTTATCTCGAAAATGTTCTTGTCGAGAACCCGAATCATGTTGCCACTTATGCTCGACCTTTTCATATGACGAACCAACTTTCTCGGATTCAACATTTCCTCCATATTAATGTACTTTTCGACTCGGGTAAAGAGCTCATTCATTGTCTGCAGTACGGTATTTGATAAAGACATTTTGAATGCCTCACAACTTATGGTATATGTGAAGGTGGAAACAACTGCTGTAATATGTAGGTCGAGTATTTGGAGCCTTTCATTGTTAATCATTGTTATGAAATCACACAGGGTTTCATTCTGCCCCTGACGAAGTTGCATGAGGAAGGCTACTATTTTCTTGATGCACTTGCTACTTTTAAAAAAAAAAGATAGGGAACTTTTCAGCTAAGTCTAAGAACGAGGCTACGGAATTGAGCTCTAATGTCGAAAAACAATCCCTGACAGCATTAGTCAATGTTTGCGGAAAGGCTTTGCACATCACCTGGTCCGGTGCAACTTGCAGATTCATGACATCAATGTACACATTGAGATGGTTGATCAGGTCTATCGTCTATCATACTTCTTAATACGATATACTTGAATCTATCTAGCAATGGGTAGGACAGTATCTGTGGCGTGAATGGAGTGTTGAGGTGAAATCCATTGGCCATCGAGTACTCCGAAGCAAGCTGATTGTAATCCCTTCTTGAATGATCCGGGCAATTTCACCAAAATTCATAATCACTAATCTTGAGGCCGAGGCCATATTTCGGACACCCGAGGTTCATTCTCTGTCGTCACTAGGAGCAGGGTTTGGTGTTGGGGCTCTGGCATCATTTTATAAAATTACCTTGATTTGTCGGCGTTGGTGGTGGATTTGAATTTCTTTGACTAAGCAGCTGAGCTACATGGCAACCTGTTGATGGAAAGGCTCCAACCGTAACAATTACTGGCTGGGGCATGGGTATTTCTGATGACACTTCTTGAGGAGCAAGGAGATCTTCAGGAGGATAAGGGTTTGGAACAGTTGAATTTGTTGGAGGAAGACTTGATCCTATATTAACCATGACTTTTGGTAGCGATTCCCACAGACAACGTCAATGAAGTTACCAAAAATCGTACTTATCGATTATTCGAGTTTGATTACTATGAACGAGCACGAGCGTGATCTTTTGATACTTGAAATAAAGGCATCGAGGTGTGTCCTCGTCATCCCTGCGATACTTAAGTCAGAAAGAGAATTTGTGCGTAAGGCTATGAACTGGAAATAATGAAAAACGTACTAGAATGATGGGTCAGAGCCTCATATTTATAGAGGTAGGTAGTGCACTCCTATTAGGATTAAGTTAGTTGAATATCCTTATCTGAAAGGAGTTTTGTTTGATATAGGTGTTGGATTTGTGTTATGATTAGTCCCCGATTGTTGTAAAATAGTAATACTGCTGCACTAGAGTTCTACTAGGCATAAGAGTCTCGGGTTCACAAGTTCGAGGAAGATTGGAATCCTCTTAAGGCTAGGATATCCTCGAGTTTGAACAGGGAATATAGACATGAGGCCTAGGGGACGGCCCCAGGACAAATTCCAAGAACTCCCAAGGATATAATCCTGAGCACACTGCAATTCCGATCCCGTGAACATGTCATGTTAGTGATTCAGCTTTATGTCCCGTGGATGTCATGTTCTCGAGGACATTTCATCTTCAAATACGACAAGAAATCATTCGAAGTCCTCAGGATGCGGTATTCCTCGGGGTGAAGGAAATATTGTCCTCATTAACAACCATTCATAAAACATGTCTCATGTGTTTAGAAGCAGATGTCGATTTTATGAAAAAGCTTGATTAAATATAGTAATATTACAATTGAACCTGAATTAGTATGTAGAACCTTGGTACCATAGAACCACAATTTTCCAAATTGCTTTTCAATTGTTCCATGCAATAATTTGTTGGCATATATTCTCATTTTTCATGTCACATTTCTAGTAATATCAGTTTTCAAATCCTCTTTCATTGTCTTAAGTATACTTTTAGTTTTTCCATTTCAAATCTGCCTTAAACTATTCGATGTAATGAAAAGTCAAGAACATATAGTTGCAATGTCTATTTTATTGGTCTCACTGACACGTGTAGATTACTCATATCTGCCTCAGCCAAAACTCTAGAAATTGATACCTAACATCATCATTGGATGCACAATTAGACTCGAGCTCTTTAAAAGATAGATACTCCAAATCATCAAGTTCATCACTGACTTAAACTTCATGCTCAAGCACCTGCTCTGTTTCATCTAGATTCGAATAGAACTTAATCCTATTTGTCGCCTTATTGGAATATGGGTCCTTGTCCAAGCCAAAGTCTTGCCCATATATGAAATTTTCATCGCTTCCAAGCTTATTACATTCTAGGAATATCACACTCTACAAATTGAATGTTTTAGGTTAAGGAAAAGCGTGAAATAAAGGAAATATGTAAACAACATAACTATGAAAAATCTACAAAATTTTCCATATTGTGTAATAGTGTTAAGTTTGAAATAGACCCCTTAAATTCAATGTACAATATCAAATAAGAAAAGAAGTAATATATTACCATAAACTAAACACTGATGAGATGAATCTAACAAAAAATTTCAAGTTTGTGGCTGACACCATGTGCAAATATAGCTAATGAAATAGAAAAAATGCTAAAATTTACCTTTATGTAGAGATGTCAATGAGTCGAGTCGGCTCGCGAGCTAAAATTCTAGGCTTGGGCTTTGTTCGGGTAAAATGATCGAACTTTTTTCCTAGCCCAAGTCTTTGCTTGGCCAAAAGAATTAGGTTCGATCCGAGCTTTCGACGTCGGGCAGGCTTGATTTTGGTGTTTGTTTTTATATAACATAAAGAATGCAGCCCCTACTGCCTTAAAATTAACACAGCATGTTGCTGCCTTTAATTTTTTTTTTTTTAAATACAGGCTCATGAGCCCGAGTCGGCGAGCCACACTAGCCGGCTCATGCTTTGCCTAACATCCTAAAATAGGGTTTGGCCCGAGCCTCAAGCCGAGCGTGCTCAAGCTTTTTTCAAACCAAACTACGGGTGGCCCCGATTGTCATCCCCACCTTCATGTGGTCTTTCCATGTATGCAAACATCAACTATTAAATAGGTAGGTCATACATGGGGTTGAATTGCAGATTTGAGGTTAGGATTTAGGATGAATTTGGGGAAATCAATTTGGGAGGTGAAATCGCTATTTTTCATATGGTTTTGTTGTTAGACGTTTTCAATTGTTTTGTTTTACATTTTTTTTTAATTTTTTTTACTTGGGAGAATCTAAAAACGTGTTTTTATTTGAACGTGACACAACATTTCACGTTGACAAGGATAACCACGGTATTTGGCATATTTTTAATGATGAGTAATTAGTACAAAACGTCTTTACATTTCAATTTTATTGTGCAAAACGTCCATACCTTTCATTTTTTGACATTTTCACCCTTACATTTACCTTTTACTGTGGAAATCATTATTTTCATTAAATTTCTCGTATAAAATGACAAATATACCACCTATTTAAATAAAACAATAAAAAATAAAATAAAAGTTAAAGAAGGTAAAGATAAAATACCAAAAAATGAATGGTATGAATATTTTGTACAATAATATCAAAAGGTAAGGACGTTTTGTGCTAACTACATTTAATGAATGTGAGCTACCAATCCCAATATTCGTACATCACGTTAGCGTATAAGGTAATGAATTATTTAGGATGATGAATAGAGTGCTAATGGAAAAAGTGAAGTATTTTAAAGTTTAATGACCACTATATAATCATGATATAAGTAAAGTCATTGTGAAAATATTTAATTTAGAGTGATTTTTGAATAGTCAAAAAGAGATTCAAAAATTGCTTTCGAATTTGTTTGGCTAATTTTGAAAAAGTGATTTTGACATTTAAAAGAACTTTTAAATGAAACTAAGGGGGTGTATTTAATCGAGACTTTTAAAGACTTTTAGAGATTTAAAAAGTTTGGGTGTATTCAATTGAAAAAAGTTTGGGTGTATTCAATAGAGACTTTTATAAACTTTTAAAAAATCTCCAGAAGTTATGGGATATTCAATTGAAACTTTTTAGAAGTTTCTACAAGTTTTGGGGTATTCAATTTAGAGGGACTTTCGGGGAATTTAAAATTTCTTGGACTTTCAGAGACTTTTTAATAGAAAATATAAATAGGATTTTTCTCCCAAAATCTCTCATCCATATAGAGATTTCTAAAAAGAGTATGCTATTCTTATTTCCCTCTAAGTTTTTCCTCTATCTCTTCCAATTAGGTATTTCTTTGAATTTTTGCTATGAGTTTTCTTCAAATCAGGTTACGGTAATTTTTCACTAGTTGATGTCTATCTCTCCCTCTAATTTCAAAAATTCGTTTTTAAGTGAATGTTGTGAATTCTCATAAATATTCCTTGATGTCTCACATTTAACACTGTGAAAAGCATATTTTCTTTAAAAAAAAAATTCCTCAAAAGTTTTTAAAAGTCTTTAGTAAAAGTCTCCATAAATCCAGAAAAAACTTTTACTAATTCCTACCAAATCCATAAAAATTATTTAAAATTTCACAAAATCCACAAAAGTCACACACTTAAAAATGTCTCCAAAAATTTTTAAAAATACCAACCGTAAATACTTTTAAAAATTAGTTTTCAAACAAAAAAATCTTCCTACAAAATAAAAAGCAGAAGATCCTTAATAACTTCAAATATTAAAAATAAGTAATAAACTTCCCCCTTTCTTCCCCCAGCGGACAACGGTGAGGTCAGACAAAGGTTTTATCTTCAAAGTTTCCCCCACGCCCCCCTCTGAACCCAAGCAAAGAAATTTCTGTGAGGAGCAACCGAGCAAAAAACCAAGAAAATCAGCAAACAAAATTACTCATATGACTCAATGGCTATTTTGAAGCCAAGTAACTCTCTCAAACGAATGGCCTCACGTTTTATCTCTTACTCGACTTCCATTCACTCTTTTCACTCCCATAATCAGCAAAGCCTCGCTCTTTCGTCTTCTTTTTCGCTTTCCCGCCCGTCTCTTCTCCTATACGCCAGGTATTTTATTTTGGATAGAGTACATATGCGGGTTTACATTTCCAGGTTTCGTATTTTATGTAACTTTCTTTAATGGATAATATGTAAAAATAATGGTGGAATTAGATTATAGTCTGCTTGCCAGTGTGTTTTAAGTGTTTGAAGAACAAATTTTTCAATAATGGATATTTGGGAAAATGTTGGGAAAAATGGAAAAAGTCTCGTATAATCTATCATAAGCATTTGCTGGTATGTGTGTTTCTGTCGCTTGTGAAGCATTGAATGGAAATTTTCATTTGCGGGTGTCTGGAAATACGTTGGAAAGGTAATGTGTAATTATTAAGCTATTTTGTGTAGGCACCACATATATATGAATATACAAGTTCGAATATATGTAACATGTATGTGTTTAACATTTGAAGAAATTTTCTCTATCACCGTGTTTGTATGTGACTCGTGGTTTGTCTGAAATTTCATATATCGTTCCCGGGAAAAGGATAAAAATTAGCTTATCTGAAATATACTAGGATTTCAGTGGGGTTTGAAGTGTTCAAGTGCCAATGACAGCACTTTAAAGCAAAAGATATTTATAATCTCTTTTACGAGAACATTTAATTTAGTACTGTAATTCTTCAATATGATTCTGCAGCAAAAAGAATTTTAGTTTGGTTGGCTACTTTAGTAGTTATTTCTTATGCAATTGTTCAGTAAATTAGCAAGGTTTGCAGAAACCTACCAATCTCATGGCTTTGTTATTTAATTCTAGGGGAAAAAAATCGACTATTTATGTTACACCAGCTGCAAGAACCTTATGAGATTATTTGTGTTATTAAAAAATCCAAGTTTAACTAGGGGATGAGATAGTGCTTTTTGTGTTTTCCTTCTTTGCCAGTATCCTATTCTAAATGAACCACTTGCAAATGTTTTAGGGCAAGTGTGACGTCGTTAAAAAAGTTCCTTTTTCTCAATATTTGATACCATCGGTGTTTAATTTTGTTAGTAAGTTTTGTGTTTTTGCTCTTGATTGTTTCAGGGCAAGTAATAGGTTGAGAAGGGTTTCAAATAGGTTTTTAATACGAAATGTGGTGTGTCCAAGGGCATTCATGTCATCAAGAACAGCAACAGAAGCTCTTTACGAAAGTAAAGGCTCGAAGGAATATGGCTCTGAGCAGATTCAGGTGAACCATTGGCCTTGGTTAACAATTAAAACATGGTTACCCTATCTTGATCCATATTTACTGTTTAAACTTTGAAGTTTCTCTTCACACCAACAATTTTCAATGCAATCTTCTTTTAGGTGTTGGAAGGTTTAGACCCAGTGAGGAAAAGACCAGGCATGTACATTGGAAGCACTGGACCCCGTGGTCTGCATCATCTGGTATGTCTTTCTGCATTAGGCTGGTTAATGTAAGTTCTTATTTTGGGGGGAAAAATCGAGTTGATTGTGCATATTTTAGGTTTATGAAATCTTGGATAATGCCATTGATGAGGCCCAAGCAGGATTCGCTTCAAAGGTTGATGTAGTTCTACTTGCTGACAATTCAGTGAGCATTACTGACAATGGTCGTGGGGTATGATTTGCCTTCTCATGTTGACATGTGGAACGTCTTCATTTTATTGGTTATAGAATCATTTTTCAAGATTATTTACCGTGCTCATATAATGGCTTTCTTGGTGTTGGGAAACAACCACCCTTCAAGTTTGAAGTATTTAGCAGATATTTTGAAATGCAATTTTGATTTGTCTTTCATGCAAAATACTGCTACCATTTGGTACATTGTGAATATTCCATCATTCTTTTGCAATTTTTTGCAAGTAACTGCGTTGCATGTGTTAAATCATAGGGATGCTTATTAAACATTGTGGTCTCTTGCGGTTTAAAATCCTCTGTAATGTTGAAGTCTAGCTTCATTTTTTCACAGTATGTTTCTCATTGTAAGGATTTTGTAGATTTCTACCTATGGACATACAAACATTTTTGACAGATGAAGCATATAGCATACGTAGATTATGTGCTATCATTTTGTTTCTCATTCAAAATAATGAACTATTGTTGTTCCTTCAGAGCACTTTGTAAAATAGTCTATCATTTTCTGCATTTTATGCTACATCTGATGATACGTAAGACTCTTTTAACGATGTGTACATGTTGAAATGTTTATGTAATTCTTTGTTAATAATGCATTTCTCTAATTTCTCATTGGGAAATAATAATATACTTTGCAATGTTGGGAGTACTACCCTTTTTTGTTTCTTGTGCGGAATGCTTTAGGGTTTTAAACTTTCTCAAATCTTAGTGAATGAAGATTCTATTTATATGATAAAAAGTGCCTTTTATTGGTGTCATATGCCTTTAGCTCCTAATGAAACCAACATGTCCTTAGTGAAGCCAGCTGCTGTCTACCTGCTTATAAAGAACTTCTGTATTCTGTAGAATTCAGTACATGGAAATAAATGCTCTGCATATTGAGTTGTCTTTAATTTCATTAATATTGGTTGAGCAATTTCTTGTTTTAGTTTATCCTATATAATACATGTGCTGAAATACGTCACGAATTAGTGCCATTTATACCATCTTGTGTGTCTGTTCCTAGAACTATGCATGTGCTTACATGCTTGCTTTTGCACTGCAGATCCCAACCGACTTGCATCCAGCGACAAAAAAGTCTGCTTTAGAGACTGTCTTGACGGTATTTTTTCCTACGTTATATCTGTTCTGAAATTCCTGAATAAGGTCAATCATGGAGATTAGGTAGATAGGATAAAATTTTAACCTTGTCCCCTGGAGGGAAATTGAATATATCAATGGTGTTGATTACAATATTGCTCAGTGTGTAGTCATCTTTAACTTTGTTGGTAACACTTATAAAATGCCTTATTTGAAATCATTTGGAAGGATGGAATAAGAAATCGGAAAGAGCATATTACAAGATGTTCTAATTGCACGAGTTAAACCAAATATACAAAAACAGAATAAAAGATTCTGTTTCTCTTTTACCTTGGAGTGGAGTTGGATTGTGTTTTATTTTTGCCACTTGAGCAACATCATTTGAAAAAGAAGGGCAGTGTGAATATTTATTTGGAACTCATTGTCCTTTTCCTTCTCTTTCCATTTCGCCTAAAGTAGAATTCTCTTCACAATCAACTAAACAAGCAGAGGGAGCAACATCCTTTTTCCTCTCTTAGTACCTTTATCTCTCCTTCCTTGGCATGCCTGGATGAAGTGAAGAATGGAAGAACTCTATTGTTGGAAATCTTTATATCCATGTCCTTGTTCGGGGAGCCACATCTTTTGTCACAGATGTGTGACAGTTGTCTCGCATGTGTTCATTTATGAAAGATAATGCTTTTATTTAACATGTCAGCTTAGTATTCAATGTAATGTATGTTCTCTAGGCAATATTGAAATATCATTCTTTTCGTGAATATAACAAATAACGTATGTTCCCAATAAATGATGCAGGTTTTGCATGCCGGTGGAAAGTTTGGTGGTCTAAGTAGTGGTTATAGTGTTTCAGGTGGATTACATGGTGTGGGATTATCTGTTGTCAATGCATTGTCCGAGGTACTCTGGCCGAGACCTCACACCACTTTCTTCCTTTGCGTCCTTTTTAAGCATTTTCAAGATTTGTGCCAAAACTTTGTCTTGTGTTTATTGGCAGGCACTCGAAATTACTGTTTGGCGTGATGGTAAAGAGTACCATCAGAAGTATACTCGTGGAAGACCTGTGACAGATTTAATCTGTCATGAGCTTCCAGCTGATTTTAAGGGTCGTCAAGGTACCTGTGTCCACTTCTGGCCTGATAAAGAAGGTAGGTCTTCTGTCTCAAAGCTTCATTGGTTTTTGATGTCCAAATACCAATTGCACGAGAATCCTATATGCTAGTTATCTTAAATATTTACATCTATCTTGGACTGCACATTTTTTTTCAGTATTCACAACTGCGATTGAGTTTGACTACAACACAATATCTGGGCGAATCAGGGAGCTTGCTTTCCTCAATCCCGAGGTTGGTCAACTGCAGTTTTTTTCCATTGTAATGTATTATTGAACATTTTAAGCTAAGTCCTTCATAAGAAGTGAAAATTTTCCCCAGTTCCTAAAATTTTCCTGAGGATTTATGGTTCTAAGTAGCAAAAAGGAAGAGACTTGTCATCCTGAATGTCATCTGTTTGTTTATACACTCTCTATTATACTGAACATGACAGGTAACTGTTCATTTCTCAACCTGCAGGTTACGATCACGCTCAAGAAAGAGGATACAGACCCTGAGAAGAACTTGTATAATGAGTATTTCTATGCTGGAGGACTAATTGAATATGTGAAATGGCTGAATGCTGATAAGGTGTGCTTGATGTTTGCATTTTTCTCAATCAGTGGGTTTTGGTTCACCTTGTGTTTTTATATTGTTTTCTCTATGATTGTGAACAATTTGCACAATCTTGGGCTCAAATGAATAGAGTGCATTACATGCTTGTACAACTGGTTAGAATGTGGAGGGGGTTAGACCAAAACTAATATGACAGGTGGTGGTTGTTAAGGATCCATTGCTCTAGATCTTCCAGATGTAGCAATGCACCAAGTGGAAGTTTACGTGTTATAAACCCAGCCATATGGTGAAGAAACCATCAATCTTTTCATATCAGGCAAATTGGGATGCTTCCTCCATATATTCCATAGCCAATTAACTTTCTCCTTGTATAGCGAATTTCACCAAGTTCTCAATTATTATGATTACATATATCTGGCAATCATTTATTGCTTTAGTTGTCTATTTTCTAATTGTTGTTTAAAGTTTTTGCTATGATTATTTAATGCTTAATTATTTACTTTCTGTTTGGATAAAATTTTAACCTTGTCCCCTGGAGGGAAATTGAATATATCAATGGTGTTGATTACAATATTGCTCAGTGTGTAGTCATCTTTAACTTTGTTGGTAACACTTATAAAATGCCTTATTTGAAATCATTTGGAAGGATGGAATAAGAAATCGGAAAGAGCATATTACAAGATGTTCTAATTGCACGAGTTAAACCAAATATACAAAAACAGAATAAAAGATTCTGTTTCTCTTTTACCTTGGAGTGGAGTTGGATTGTGTTTTATTTTTGCCACTTGAGCAACATCATTTGAAAAAGAAGGGCAGTGTGAATATTTATTTGGAACTCATTGTCCTTTTCCTTCTCTTTCCATTTCGCCTAAAGTAGAATTCTCTTCACAATCAACTAAACAAGCAGAGGGAGCAACATCCTTTTTCCTCTCTTAGTACCTTTATCTCTCCTTCCTTGGCATGCCTGGATGAAGTGAAGAATGGAAGAACTCTATTGTTGGAAATCTTTATATCCATGTCCTTGTTCGGGGAGCCACATCTTTTGTCACAGATGTGTGACAGTTGTCTCGCATGTGTTCATTTATGAAAGATAATGCTTTTATTTAACATGTCAGCTTAGTATTCAATGTAATGTATGTTCTCTAGGCAATATTGAAATATCATTCTTTTCGTGAATATAACAAATAACGTATGTTCCCAATAAATGATGCAGGTTTTGCATGCCGGTGGAAAGTTTGGTGGTCTAAGTAGTGGTTATAGTGTTTCAGGTGGATTACATGGTGTGGGATTATCTGTTGTCAATGCATTGTCCGAGGTACTCTGGCCGAGACCTCACACCACTTTCTTCCTTTGCGTCCTTTTTAAGCATTTTCAAGATTTGTGCCAAAACTTTGTCTTGTGTTTATTGGCAGGCACTCGAAATTACTGTTTGGCGTGATGGTAAAGAGTACCATCAGAAGTATACTCGTGGAAGACCTGTGACAGATTTAATCTGTCATGAGCTTCCAGCTGATTTTAAGGGTCGTCAAGGTACCTGTGTCCACTTCTGGCCTGATAAAGAAGGTAGGTCTTCTGTCTCAAAGCTTCATTGGTTTTTGATGTCCAAATACCAATTGCACGAGAATCCTATATGCTAGTTATCTTAAATATTTACATCTATCTTGGACTGCACATTTTTTTTCAGTATTCACAACTGCGATTGAGTTTGACTACAACACAATATCTGGGCGAATCAGGGAGCTTGCTTTCCTCAATCCCGAGGTTGGTCAACTGCAGTTTTTTTCCATTGTAATGTAAAATGTGTCCTGTGTGCTTTCTGATTCTTCATCCCCATCCCTCTTTCCATTCTTCTCGGCAGAACTCCAAAAAAAGGTTTTCTCCTAATATCATTAGAAAAATCATGCCTATTGTTTATGAAACCATTTTAAGTTTAATTTAACAGCTACTAATACCGCCATTATTATACTGAACATGACAGGTAACTGTTCATTTCTCAACCTGCAGGTTACGATCACGCTCAAGAAAGAGGATACAGACCCTGAGAAGAACTTGTATAATGAGTATTTCTATGCTGGAGGACTAATTGAATATGTGAAATGGCTGAATGCTGATAAGGTGTGCTTGATGTTTGCATTTTTCTCAATCAGTGGGTTTTGGTTCACCTTGTGTTTTTATATTGTTTTCTCTATGATTGTGAACAATTTGCACAATCTTGGGCTCAAATGAATAGAGTGCATTACATGCTTGTACAACTGGTTAGAATGTGGAGGGGGTTAGACCAAAACTAATATGACAGGTGGTGGTTGTTAAGGATCCATTGCTCTAGATCTTCCAGATGTAGCAATGCACCAAGTGGAAGTTTACGTGTTATAAACCCAGCCATATGGTGAAGAAACCATCAATCTTTTCATATCAGGCAAATTGGGATGCTTCCTCCATATATTCCATAGCCAATTAACTTTCTCCTTGTATAGCGAATTTCACCAAGTTCTCAATTATTATGATTACATATATCTGGCAATCATTTATTGCTTTAGTTGTCTATTTTCTAATTGTTGTTTAAAGTTTTTGCTATGATTATTTAATGCTTAATTATTTACTTTCTGTTGACTGTGATTCAGCTCTGCTGAATAGTGACTGACAGTTCTTTGGTCCAGAAATCTCTTCACGATGTTTTGGGATTTAGGAAAGAAGCTGATGGAGTCACAATTGATGTCGCTCTTCAATGGTAGACATATGACCTCTCTTCCTACAATCTTATTTCCTTTCCTCGTTTGATTCGTAGACTCATTTCTAAGATCAAGATTTTTAAAACTTCTTGTAGCAGCACAAGAATTAAACAGAAAAATAGAATAGCATGCACTTGTTAGATTTTAAAGTCATTTACTTCTCAGGTTCAATTTAGTTATGTAGGATACCTGTAACATCGCTAGAAGAAAAAGTTAAGTTGGCATGGTTGATCTTTATGCAGGTCTTCGGATGCATATTCAGATACAATGCTAGGGTATGCTAACAGCATACGGACAATTGATGGTGGCACTCACATTGATGGTGTGAAGGCTTCATTAACGAGAACAATCAACAACCTTGCGAAAAAATCAAAGGTCATTAAGGTACAAAAGATTTGGGCACATTTCTTTTCTTCTGAGCTTTTTTATGTAGAAGTAATCATATTCATGCTCCTGTAGTAGGGAAAAAATGTGTTTTAAGCCATGTTCATAGACATGTCCATTAGAATGAATAATTATAGGTCAATCTCAAAGCTAAAAAGTTGCTTCCTTCTTTAAGGAAAGGGACATTAATTTAAGCGGCGAACACGTAAGAGAGGGACTGACTTGTGTGATCTCTGTCAAAGTTCCCAACCCAGAATTTGAAGGACAAACAAAGGTTAGTTTATCATATTACCAGAATAGAGTCTTGTAGATGGTTTTATACCAGTAAAACACTTAAGATAAAGCTAATTTTTGCATCATATATGTTCATGAGATTTATTAATTTTATATATTTTTTTCGATTTTGACAGACGAGGTTGGGAAATCCAGAGGTAAGGAAGATTGTTGATCAATCAATACAAGAATATCTGACTGAGTATTTGGAGTTGCATCCAGATGTATTGGATGCAATTCTTTCCAAGGCCCTTAATGCTCTCAAGGTACATTGCAACTACCTACCGACATTCAATCAGTTGAAAGGATATTGTTATATTAATTTGCTAGCTTCAGAACTTTAAGATTCCGTGATGCATATATCTATTTTTGAATTTCTTATATGATTCACGTTTATTCTTGCATCTGTAGGCAGCTCTAGCAGCAAAAAGGGCGAGGGAGTTGGTGAGGCAAAAAAGTGTTCTGAAATCATCATCCCTTCCTGGGAAGCTTGCTGATTGTTCAGCTACAAATCCTGAAGAATCTGGTATGATGAGTTTTTCTTTTCAAAACTAATTAGCATTGAAGTTTTAAGCCTCTGTTCATGTAAAATTAAAAGTTAATAAAGAGTTACTTTTTCTACTTAGTCAAGGTCAAACATTAATTTCAACCCCATATTCACAACTATTAGCCATTTATTAATCACATTCACAACTAATAGCCATTTATTAATCACACATTACGTGCTACCCAAATATTATTGCTCCAAAAAAGTTACTAATAATTTTACCTGAACACTCACTAAGCATGTGTACTTGAGGAAACTTCATCCCTCTTGAAAATGTGTCCTGTGTGCTTTCTGATTCTTCATCCCCATCCCTCTTTCCATTCTTCTCGGCAGAACTCCAAAAAAAGGTTTTCTCCTAATATCATTAGAAAAATCATGCCTATTGTTTATGAAACCATTTTAAGTTTAATTTAACAGCTACTAATACCGCCGGTGGTAATGGGATCCTCACAGAGGAAAGAAACCTACATATACAAGCAAGCTTAAATGATTCAAAGTACTGAGAATATTATATGTCCAAGTATTCTGTTTGTATTTTGGATAACATTTCTTTTTAGCATATTGTAATGCTAAAGCAAACATCATATCCTTTCAACGACAATTTTCAGAGATCTTTATAGTGGAGGGAGATTCAGCTGGTGGAAGTGCTAAACAAGGTCGAGATCGACGTTTTCAGGTAATAATTCTAGCATATAATTTGTTATTACTTTCAGTCCATATACTCTTGTTGTAGCTTTTTATTTGTTTAGTTTTGCATGGTAAAAATGATGACAAAAATGGTTGAAGCATTCAAGCCTTGGAGAACTCATTTCTTTCTTAGTCCTTTTTTATGTTGGTTAATATCATTCTCTGCAGGCCATTCTTCCTTTGAGGGGTAAAATTTTAAACATTGAAAGAAAGGATGAAGCAGCCATGTATAAAAATGAAGAGATTCAGAATCTTATTCTCGGTCTAGGACTTGGCGTGAAGGTGATGTTCGTACAGTTATTTTTATCTGTTTTTGTGTGTATATTTTTGCTGGATGATCACTTGAGCATTTGCTTTCTGATAATCCTCAGGGGGAAGATTTTAGAAAGGAAGCTCTTCGTTACCACAAAATCATAATATTAACAGATGCTGATGTGGATGGTGCACACATACGAACATTGTTGTTGACCTTTTTTTTTAGATATCAGGTATGTATTGATAGAAAGAAAATCATATGCGCGATTTTTTATATGAAACTAAAACAAGATCCCCAGTTGAATGTGAAGTGCTTGATTGTCAAATTATAACTTTAGAGTTTACGTCTGCAAGCAAGCACTATGTGAAAATTTCGATCCACCCAACTCAATGAATGGGTTAGTGTACTTACACCGAGTTTAATAAAATTAAAAGACGAACACAAAATTAATTTATAAATTTATATACATGGATTCCATATACTATTTGGTTGTGGCTTGAATTTCCTGCAGAGAGCTTTATTTGATGAAGGCTGCATTTATGTTGGCGTTCCACCTTTTTACAAGGTTTGTATTCGAGAAGATTTTCACCAAAGCTTCTATTCAAATAATTTTGTTGCGTTTTTCATTCTTCGTTTACTATCCAGGTTGAGAGGGGAAAGCAAGCATACTACTGTTATGATGATGCAGAACTTAAAAAGCTCCAGCGTACTTTCCCTGCAAATGCTTCGTACAATATTCAGAGGTTCAAAGGTAAGCCTCTGAAGCCACAGGAACAATAGGGTCATGTTAGATGACTAGTTTTAAGGAGATAGAAGTATAATCTTAACATACAATACCTTGAACATATTTTGCAAATGGGGCTTATCAAGGGGTTTCCCTTGTGAAGGTTTTACTGATGGAATGCTCTGCTAACCTAATCCCCAAACATTAAATTTTCACATCCTCATGCCATCTATTGATGTGAAAAAATGCAGGCTTGGGCGAGATGATGCCAGTGCAGCTCTGGGAAACAACAATGAATCCAGAGACTCGGCTTTTGAAGCAATTAAGGGTCGAGGATGTGGCAGAAGCCAATGTTGTTTTCTCCTCTCTCATGGGATCCCGGGTAAGCGGATCGTAGCTTCAGTTTGTTTGAGTTGTATCTTGCCCCCATCTGAAACTGATGTTTAACATAACGTAATGAATAATATTTTAACTTCATTTCATTTTTTAATATTGTTCAGTGCTATCGAATCCTCCCTATGTCCCTACCAAATATGTATCATGTGTTTTCATCATTTTTCCATAGATTAGCGAATTTTGACACCAAAAATTTGCCTTGTTCTGGCTTTTTCAGGTGGATACCAGGAAGGAACTTATAAAGAACTCTGCTAGCATAATCAACCTTGAGCACTTGGATATATGAATCTGCCTTAAGATCTTTTGTACTTCATACTTACAGCAAGGGTTACGCGTAGGTATTTGGACAAAGCAGAGGAGAGAACTTCCAACATAACATAAAGATCTTTATGTTATACGTAAGGGCCCAGGTAGAAAGTCTCACCGGTCTATTCAATTCAACTCGTGGGTGACACTTTTCATCGAAAGAACCTCTATACCAAGACTATGTTGTGACTACGACGATAATTTACAATCCTAATCTTCACATGTTCCATAGAATCTTGTTATATTGTTTCTTATTTTGTTGCTTTTTTCTGTGGTGGTTTGTTATTTTCTTGGCAGTTGCTCATGAGACAGTTCTACAGAGTTTATGCAAAAGAATGTTTGTGTTCTTCCTTTCTGAAAACCCATTTAAGATTTCATAAGCTCTATATCCGACCAAGTAATATCCCTTGTATAAAGCATCGACGAGTACTCCGGCTCCTGAGGTAAAGAGAGAAAAATTCGTAGATATAGAACAACGGAAATGACATAAATCCCTAATGAAAACAATTCACTACCTTCTTTTACCTGTAATTATCTGGATTTGTATCGACAGATTTTCAGGTGAAAGTTGAATATGTGAGTACTTGGTGAGTTCATGTGACTTTTGTTTTGTACCTTGATAGCAGTGCCCATAAAAGTGAGGATATTGTTGAATGATGAGTAAATGTTTTTAGGAAAAATGGAAATTTCAATGGACATAATGAAAGGAATAATACTATTTATCTAAAGTGATCACTGGAGACACTGGCTATGGGATCGTTGCTACGATGTTCAATGAACTTCAAATGCATATTTAGGAGGGTGTATATAATCGAGACTTTTAAAGACTTTTAGAGATTTAAAAAGTTTGGGTGTATTCAATTGAAACTTTTAGAGACTCTCTAAAAGTTTGAGTGTATTCAATAGAGACTTTTATAAATTTTTAAAAAGTCTCTAGAAGTTACGAGGTATTCAATTGAAACTTTTTAGAAGTCTCTACAAGTTTTGAGGTATTCAATTTAGAGGGACTTTCAGGGAATTTAAAATTTCTTGGACTTTCAAAGACTTTTTAATAGAAAATATAAATAAGATTTTTCTCCCAAAATCTCTCATCCATAGAGAGATTTTTAAAAAGAGTATGCTATTCTTATTTCCTTCTAAGTTTTTCCTCTATCTCTTCCAATTAGGTATTTCTTTGAATCTTTGCTATGAGTTTTCTTCAAATCAGGTTATGGTAAATTTTCACTAGTTGATCTCTATCTCTCCCTCTAATTTCAAAGATTTGTTTTTAAGTGAATGTTGTGAATTCTTGTAAATATTCCTCGATATCTCCCATTTAACACTGTGAAAAACATATTTCATTAAAAAAATAATAATAATAAATAAATTCCTCAAAAGTCTTTAAAAGTCTTTAGTAAAAGTGTCCACAAATCCAGGAAAAACTTTTACTAATCCCTACCAAATCCATAGAAATTACTTAAAATTTCACAAAGTCCACAAAAGTCACCCACTTAAGAAAGCCTCCAAAAGTCTTTAAAAATCCCAATTGAATACACCCCCTTTAGACACTATTTTTTTGCAAATCGATGGTTTTTTAAATTCTAGATTAATAGCTTTACTCGAATGAGGAAGCAATGAAGTGTGGACGAAGGCATCGATATTCCTAGTGTATGTTTGGCAAAAATTTTAATTTAGGGCAGTTTTCAGAGATCTTTCTTGAGGTTTCGAATAATTTCAAAAAATACGTAAATTTCTCTAACTTTCAAATTTTGAAAAATGGATACCTCTCTTTGTCACTATTTTGTTACAAATTAATATAAATAATGGTGGCTTCTTTATCATTTTCTAATCAAATCAACAACAAAATTATTTTTTAAAAATATAAATTGTTAACAAATTTATCAATAATTGACAGATTTCAGTAATTCAATTTGAGGACACAGATGAGGAATTTTAGTTGTGATTTTATCTCAAATGAATATTCAGAAATTTGATACTTGCGAGTTTCGCCTACTTTAAAGGTGATAGATAACACAAATACATTTTCCAAAGATTCATATATTTACAAATCTTATAAGTAGTTTATTGTTGTAACAAAGAGTTGGCAATAAAATGAAGTAATTAATTGATTGGTCAAAAAGAGTTTAAATGAGCATTATATGACTTACTTCTCACTATTTTGTTATATATTTCAATGTTTACTCAGTCTGATCATTTCAATCAGGAAACTCGAGAATAGGGCCAAAACCGGGTTGGTTAAACCTTGAGAACCTTTAATTAAAAACCCATCTTTAAAATCATTGACTTGCTTGGGTTTTAGAAATCTCACGACTCGCACCCTGTTTATACGGTTTATCCAATTTAGAAATTAATTAATTAATGTCTTACCCTTCCCCCCGCCGAAGCAATTTTTTTTCCTAACCCCCCCCCCCCCCCCCCCCCCCCCCCACCCCACCTTTTTTTTTTTTTTTAAATATTTTTAGACTTTCAAACTATTCATCTTTCTTCTGTGCCGTCTTTTGTTTGACTTTGAAGACACTTGAGTTCTTATTTTTATTCTTATCGACGACGTCTTTGATAAGGTTATACTTCTTGTTTTTGTATAATTATAATGAATTTTGCAATATTAGACTATTATTTGTTAATTTTGGATGCAAAGCTATATTGAAATTTTGTGTTTGTTCTAATTTCTCGCCTCTGTTGTCTGTAACTCTGTATACTTGTTGTAATTCACATATTTCTATGCTTTTTTGCGGTTCAATTAGGTGGGATATATGATGCCTTATATTTTGTGTCATTGAAATTCTATTGTTTAGGATTAGGTGCCAATTTTACTGGTGCAAATCAGCATGTATAGTGGTATAAAAAAATAAAAATAAAAATAAAAATAAAAAAATAAAATAAAATATATACATACATATATTTATGCATCTTGGAACCATAAAATAGCAAAATATTTAGTTGACGCCAGGCCCTGAAATTTTGGGCGCGTTATGCCAAACTTCAAATATAGGGCCCTATGAATATTTAGCCCTTCATTGAAATTAAAATTAAATTTTTAATAGATTTTTATGAAAGTTGATAAAATACGTGGTTAAAAAGTTGTAGGCCCTTTAAAATATGTGATTAAAATTAATTGTTGATGTTAACTTAGAAAATAGTTAAATACAATTAAAAAATTAAACTAAATAAAAAAATTCGGAAAAAAAAATACAAGATTTAAAAGCCAATACGAACATAAAAAGGGAAAAAATAATAAGTGAAATCCAAAAAATTTCGAACCAGATTACATAACACATAGAGAAGCAATAGTTTAATTACAACATTAATCAATATAATGACACTGAAAAACTGGGGGGGGGGGGGGGGGCNAAAAAAAAAAAAAAAAAAAAAAGAAAAAAAAAAAGGGGGGGGGGGGGGGGGGGGAGCCCCTATTTGAGCCCTATTTTGGTAAGAAAATGTAGTTTGGAATAATAATTTTTTAAAGAATATGTAATTAAAAAAGAATGAATTTTTTTTTTTACGTGTAAAATTAATTTATAGGAAAATTTGTGGTTGAAAATAATTTTTTATTAAAAAAATGATTTTTTGAATTTCAAAAAAAAAAATAGGGACCAAACATAGGCAAAATGAAATGCAAGAATCATGAGAAAGAAATGAATAGTAGTGCCATTAACGGCAGCTCCTTAAATAAGTGTAAGACTCACCATGAGAGCATTAGAAAAAGTAATGGCCGTGATTTTGGAGAGAAGTGATATTTTGTCCCTTGTTAAGAAATAGAAAAATGATGGTTGGTAGGGCTGCACAAAAAAACTACGAAACCGCAAATCGAACCGAAGTTGATGGTTTGAAACCGTTGGTTTGGGTCCACGTGGACCCACCGTTTTATTTTCCTCAAACCGAACCAAACCGCTTTAAAATGGTTTTGTTTAAGTTTCAATTTTCAAAAACCGCAAAAAACCAAACCGAACCGAACTTTTTTTTAATCAAAAAAATATTTTATTCAATGCATTTGGCCTTTTTCAAGAACGACGGGTTACTCATTTTAATTACCATGCATTTGGCCCATGATAGGCCCGCCTAACCCGGCGGGTTTAAAGAAAACCATTGTCCCATTTTATGTTAAAATCGGATGGGTCAATTAAGTTCAATAGAGTTCCAAAATTTCCAGATTTCTCACGCAAGCTTAAAAACCCTTCTCAGCCGTCTCTTGCAATCCCATCCTAGGAATCCAAAATCTTCCATTTCAAGTTGTGTTAGATAGAAGAAGAACATGTAAGTCTGAAATTTAAGTTTTATTTTGTAAATTTTTGTGCAATGAACTCGTTATATACTAAGAAAATGATGTTTCTTTGACACCAAAGTTGCTGGCTTTCTTGATAGATATATGGGTTTTGATTTCCAGTTGGTTTCCTATTGGTTAAGCTTCTTTCCCTCAACCAGAATTCAAAATCAATATCTGCCTAAACTCATATTTCCCTTTAATTTCATGTTTGTTTCAAATCTGTTTTTCTTTCCAATTTGAGTGCATAATTAGTTATATTGGTCAATTGAATCACCACATCCTTTTGCAGTTTGCTTTCATTTATGTATAGACTAAGTTTTTTAAGTCAAACAATTTGCATACGCATTTCTTGTCTGTGACATTACAATTTGCATACGCATTTCTTGTTTCTGTGACATTGATCTTGATACTACCCCCGGGAGGGTTATAGGTCTTTCTTGAGTATTTCTCAAACTTAGAATTGGCTTTTATGTTGGAATATTTATAAAATGGATGACATGAAGAAATGCTGAGATCTTTCTGGAGAAGTTCGTAATTTCTTCCTTTCTGTTTACAAATAATTTAACTGCGGAAGTGGAATGAATAATTGATTCGACTACTTATGTCTCAATTTTTAACAAGAATGCTCATTTATGTTCGCTGCGAACATCACTCCACAGTTTTTGGAACTTCTAGCTATCTCTGTAGAAATTCGACATCATTTTTTGAGGGAATTTCACCAGGGTAAATACTTTGTTGTGCTCTTCATATTTCATTGACATTTATCACAGAAGAATCAGATAAAACAAGATCGAATTACAGTTTTATTGATTGAAATTTTACTGTTTTAAATGCATATGGAACTCGATTTCTAAATTACAAATTCAAACTTCTCTTTCTAATCTATAGATAGAAAAATCTATAACAAATAATCATCTAATTAACGCGTTTGCAATCAGTCCTGATTTCTCCACTGTTTCCCGTCAATGCACTTATATTTCCCATTTCAAATTCAGATTTTTGGTTGTTTGATTGATAATTTTTCTTTTCTTTTCTTTTTTTTATCTCATAAACAAATTCTTTTTTTTTTTCAAATATTTATCCA